GACACCTAAAGGAGAAATTAAAGAGGTGAATTATTTCACAGAGCTTCAAATGCAGTGGTATTTTTGTTTTTTTGAAACAGGGTTTCTCTTTGTAGCCCTGGCTGTCCTGGAACTAGCTCTATAGACCAGCGGGCCTCAAACTCAGAGCTCTCTCTGCCTCTGTCTCCCGAGTGCTGAGATTAAAGGTGTGTGCCACTTGCAATATAGAGAAGATCAGTTCTCATTGCCAGGTTTCTTTCAAGATTCCTATTGGCTCAGATTTACTCCCCCACCCCCCACCCCCGCCAAGGCATGCTATGCTCCTAGATGACTAATGAGCTCTACTTAGCCAGCAGCCCATTTCTGGTCCAGAAGGCTACAGCTGAGGAATAAAAAGCCTGGGTGAGGTGATAAAGAGTATTCTCACAGGGCTAGAGATGGCTCAACTGTTAGGAGTTCTTGCTGCTCTTCAGAGTAGACCTGAGTTGATTCCCAGCACCCACAGCCAGTAGCTCATAACCACCTGTAACTCACTCTCACAGATGGCACACAAAGACACACATAAATAAGAACAAACTAAAGCATTTGTTATTTTTTTAAAGGAATATGATTGCTAGTGCTTGTTTGGGTTCTCCAGGACTCAAGACACCAAAATGAGATTCCAAATGCCAGTGTTAATCTGACTTCAGAAATGTAGAACAGGACTTAAGCAAGTTGGAATCCTTCAGAGTACTCCCACAACATGTAACACAATATCCCCAGGAATTTAATTAAAAAAAAAAAAAAAAAGCTGAGCATGGTGTTTGGTTGTTGACTTGTAGGCCTATTTCCAAGAATAACTTAAGACTTTATAGTTGGAAGTGAGTTTCTCATTAAAAAGAGATCAAAAGTACACACACCCTCAGATCTACCCACAACTAGAAGCTGAGAGGTGTGCTGATGAATTTCATCAAAATGGCACACTGGCCAGGGAGCATTTCAATGTTAAGTACAGTTACTGCCTGTGGTGGTTTGAATAAGAATGGCCCCCATAGGCTCATATATTTGAATGCTTACTCATCAGAAGTAGCACTACTTAGAAGGATTAGGAGGTGTGGCCTTGTTGGAGTAGGTGTGGCCTTGGAGGAAGTGTCACTGGGGGTGGGCTTTGAGGTGTCAGAAACTCAAGCCAGGCCCCAGTGGCTAACTCTTTCTCTGCCTGCTGATCCAGATATAGAACTCTCAGCTACTTCTCCAGCACCATCTCTGCTACATGCTGCCATACCACCCCCCTCCCCAGCCATGATGACAATGGACTAAACCTCTGAAACTATAACCAAGCCTCAATTAAATGCTTTTATATTTTTAAAGTAAGAGTTGCTGTGGTCATGGTGTCTCTTCACAGTAATAGAACACTGATTAAGACATTGCCTGTGGGCTCCCAGAAAGCCCAGAAATCAGTGTTCTCTCTCTTTGAAAGCATCTTTCAGCTTGAGCATGTAGTCTTTGGGAAAACGGTAAAACAAGACACCCAACTAGATAGGGTGGCCAGATCTCACCCAATAGTAAACGCTCACACAACTGAGGGCCCTCTATGTGATATGAGGTTTGTTTTCAACATGCCTGGATGTTAAGAGAAATGGATTACAAGGTAAGCTGCTCTGCTTTTAAATCCAACACAGCCTTGCTCTCTCAACTGCCTGATTTCCTCCCTCTCAATAGGTGATCTTACTTGCCAGTTAAAAACAAGAACTTCAACAGTCTTTTGCTGCAATCCATCAGGATCCCCAAACAATCCACAAAGAAACTCTGCTCCCCAACCCCTTCAGAGTTAGAAGGCTATTATTCCCCTTCCTTTCCTTCTCATCTCCTTTACGATCTCTACTTTACTTCATGGAGTAGCATCGTCCCCATCTCAATCACTCTTTACTCCATTTGACTCTTCTTCACAAGCACTTAATCATGTTTAGGTTTTCCACCCAAGAGAACTAAAATTACATAATCCATTTCTCTCTGGAACTGTCCCCACCCCTCTCATTTATTCTTTTTATAGGCCAGTTTCTTACAAGAGCTTCTTTTTTTCTTTTTCACTTGCAACTTGTTGCAGTATAGACTATCAAATCTAACAGATGCTTCAGCCCTACCTCATAGTCGGGCAGTGCTTTCTGTCTTCATCTCTATCTTGTAGTCGGGCAATGCTTTCTGTCTTTATCTCTATCATATAGTTGGGCAGTCCTTTCTGTCTTCATCTCTATCTTGTAGTTGGGCAGTCCTTTCTGTCTTCATCTCTATCATGTAGTCGGGCAGTCCTTTCTGTCTTCTTCATCTCTACCTTGTAGTTGAGTGCCCCCTTCTGCTTGCACTACTCCCTACTTGATTATCATGATCATCAAGCGTTCCTTGTTTTTTTCTGCCCCTCTGTTAGGTCTATGTTAGGAGTACGATATGTTCCAAACAGGTTCAGGTTTTGAATGCTTAGGTCCCAGGTGATGGCACTGTTTTGCGAAGTGTCAAGATTTTCAAACATGGGGCCTAGGTAGAGAAGTAAGTGCAGGATTGCACTCTTGAAGCTGACCAGAACCCCAGTCTGCTTCTTTTTCTGCTTCTTGTCTGATAGGAGGTCAGAACTTTCTGCTATCCATTCCTATTGTCACGACAGCTTCCCCAAGTGCACAAGATCTAGTGGCCATGGACTGAGTCCTAGGAGCTCTTGGAAACCATAAGCTAAAATAAATCCTTTTCCTGTAGTTTTATATTTATTATAACAGATATTCTATCACAAAGATAAGAATGTTAACTAATACAGTCTGACTAGCCTTCCCCAGTCTTCTGTACATGTTCCTTTCTCAATTCTTTTCCTGCTTTGGGCAACCACCATTCTACTCTCATGTCTTTGAGTTCAACACCATTTCACTCCCATACAGTAAGATCACACAATCATCTTACTCAAAAAGTAAGATTATGTAATTTATCTTTCTGTGCCTGCATTATGTCACTTAATATCTCCCTTAGTTATCTATGTTATCACAAATGACAGGATTTCCCTCCTTTGACAGGTGAATAGTACTCCTGGTATATAGGCCACATTTTCTTTACCCATTTTTCAGCTGATGTAGATGTAGGTTGATTCTGCATCCACATGCTGCAATAAATTGTGGGAGTGCAGATATCATGTTGACATAATGATTTAATTTTTTTGGGATATTGTTCTAGTTTGCTTTCTGTTGCTTTGATAAAACACTATGACCATAAGCAACTTGGGGGAGAAAAAAGTTTATTTTAGCTTATATTTTCAGGTCATAGTTCATCATTACAAGAACTCTATTAATTCATGATTCCATTTTATAAATTTGTTCATTTCTTTAAGGTTATCAATTTGTTCACACATTTTTCATTTTATTTCTGATACTCTTATCCATTTTATTTCTGTAACATAATTTATAATGACTCCTCTATTTCTTATTTTATTTACTGAGCCTTTCTTTTGCAGTCCAGCTAAATGCTTTTCAATTTATCTTTTCAAAAATTTGTTTCATTGGCTTTCTATGTTTTTTAGAGTCCATTTCATTTGTTTCTGCTCTGATTATTTTCTTAATTAAAAAAAATTTGATGTCTTTAAGTGTTTCATATGCAGTGTGTCTGTATATCACAGAAAGCAAGAAGCAAATGTTAGATGCACTGGAGTTTGGTTGTGAGCCACCATGTAGATGCTGAGAATCAAACCCAGGGCCTCCAGAGGCAACTGCAGACTCACCTCTCTGGCTCCTTTGCTCTGGTTTTTAGTGTTTCCTCCACTAACTTTGTGCTCCTTTGTAAGCCAAAGACTTAGCCAACAGCTGCATACTCCTCAGCCTCCAGTCAAGCCTCCAGGTTCCAAACCAGCCAATTGGTTTCAAGCAACAGGTCAACATCCACAGACCTAAACTCCAAACCATCTCTAACAGGAGAAAGTTCCACCACCTGCCCAGCATGGGGCCAGCATCAGGCTCCAGAAGACCCAGTTATAGTAGATTTTACACACTTGATATCCAGCATAATGACTATCACTTAGAAGATGTAGAAAAACATTAGATGAATTAATAGGTTAAATGATACTCTTTGAGTGTAAGTAAAATTAAAAATGACCTTTGACATACTTTATGAGTTATAATACAACCATCTACTAGGATTTATTACAATTTCAAGGCTTACAGAACAGCCATCATGTCTCTCTCATTTTCACAAAGCTCTCATTAGGCAGTGTTACTATCAACCCTACTTTATACATGAAGAAAGAACAGCAGTTCAGTGACCAGCTCAAGGAAGAACTCAATACTCCATGGGTTTCAGAACCTCTGAAAACTCACATCTCTACTGAAATATTCAGAAGTATGTGGGATTACTGATTCTTCAGTGAAGCTTCAATTTGATCTCTTGCAGAATATTTTGAGATTGAGAAAATTTAAGTGAATTGTTCAAGAAATATTTAAGTGTGAATTACTTAAATTATACTGCTTATAATTTTCATATATTAATACTGCAAACTTTTAATTGATGTACTTCATATCCCTGAAGCTAGAAAGATTTTGGTCTCTGTATTAATCAAAAGGCTTCCATGTTTATTAGTACCTGTCCTTGGAAAGTTTCTAGTTACATGCCATTACAAATTCCTGGTCATAGAATAATTCTGAGTTGTATATACATGCCCTTAATGTTCTTACAACATTCAATCATGAGCAAACAAACATTACCAGCAATGTTTCAGCTGACCTAGGATATGTATTTTCCTTGATATAGCAAAGACTAACCTCAGAGTAAAGCGAATTTCTCACAGTACACAATCTTTCAGAGATTAGTTCCCAGTTACTTGACATTTGTAATTCTCTAGTCAGTGATGGCACACACACACAATGAAAGCAGGAGGAACCACTCTAACTTATTACATCCACCCAGGAGTATTACTTCCACAATATACAGCTATGTAAAACAAACAAGCAATTGTTTTATATTCAACTTTGTGGGATGTATCAGTAATTTTAAAAAGAACAAAAAGAGATACTTACAATACATCCTTAAAGTCTCCAAAAACGTACATATGCCTAAAACTGTCAATAGCTATGACAGGGCAATCTGCTGGAGTTTTCTGGATATGCAGAAGAGGATGTCTAAATTTGTCACAATCTGCATGTAAGAAATTTATTGTACCTTTGAAAGAAACAGAATTTTAAGAACTACATTAGAATTTTAACTGTATTCTCTGATTATGAACTCTCAAAAACAGCATAATAAACAACAACATCAATATTCTTGAAATTAATACAGACCAAGAAAACTAGAACCTAAACAGAATATTTAAAAGAAGCACATTTTTTTTTTTTTAGTTCTCAGGGCAGAGTATAATCCCCTTAGAAATGATAAGAACACTCAAGTTTGAATGCTACTGTGAATTTTTTATTTCTTCAATTGGCAGTCATCTGCTGTGCAGGCTCCCCAGATTCTGACAGCAAGTCCCCAAGTCTAACACATACACTGTTCCCTTGGGACCATCTTCATGCCCCTTGGGGCCTAGTTGGCTATTTTTTAATCTAATTTAGACCCAGAATGTCTACTAAATGATTCAAATATAGGCAGCGCTTTACCATGCCACCAGTTCACATCATTTGACTTTTTATCCTCAGTACCGAGAAGCTGTTTGACACCCCAAATTCTGCTAAAATACCATGGAGAAATGCAGACAGCTGCTCAACTTTCATACAGAAATAAATGTGGATCAGAGTGTGTTGTCTCTTAGCAATGTCTCTGGAATGTGTCAGAGAAGCACTTAGGTACCAGGAAAAGGGTCCCTAAACAATACTGTTCACATAGGACCACTTTTCATGCTATTTACTCTTTTCCCTCTATACAAGTCACAGAAAACAAGAGCAAATGCACAGAAAATACCGCTTTACATCAGAACTCCACTGCTTCCTTGCCTTTATATCCAAACCCACATGTTAAAATAGCTGATTAAGCTTTTAGCCTAAGTGTGTTCAGGCCAAATGCGTAACAGGAAAGGAACAGAAAGGTAGTGAGAAAAAGATGAAAATAAACACCTTAAACAGTCTACCTTTTTCACTTATTAATTGTCGGGCTACTTCATTCTGGAATATTTCTAAACTTTCTGTATCCTCTTTCATGTGGAAGAGTATGAGAAAAGGCAGTCCTTCTTCTGTCAATTCCTGCAGAAAGAGGTTTTTGATGAAGATCAGTGGCCTCTATTCAGTTTAGCTCTTTCCCAAATGTGGACTTGATCCATGTAACTAACAATTGCAAATAATCAGGAAAAAAGGGTTCCAGTGGTGTGAAAAACAAGACTTAAAAAGAAGGAATTCAACCATCTGCATCTTAGGTATGAACACTAAGGAAACACACATGTGCTGCTGTTTTATAGACATGGATTCACCTGAAAGGTCCTTGGCCAATCTGTTAGCCCAGTGGTTCTCACTCAACCTCTGGATTTTGACCCCCACAGGGGTCACATATTTCAGATATTTACATTATGATTTATAACAGTAACAAATTACAGTTATGAAGTAGCAATGAAATAATTGTATGGTTGGGAGTCACCACAGCATGAGGAAACTATATTAAAGGGCCACAGCATTAGGAAGGTTGAGAACAACTGTGTTAGCCAGTACTACATATATGACTACAGGGGCAGCCTCTTGAAGCCAGTTAGGGTGAGCAAAGAAAGAATTATAGTCAGTTCTTAATCCAGGAGTGACATGAACATTGATTAGTATTGCCAGTCTTCACAAGTAAAACTGGAAACACAAGTGTGCCAGCAATAAATAAATCTGAATCATAAATCAATGCTTATTCTAAAGTGTATTATCAATACATTCCACTATGTGAGACCAACCCAAAGGTGGGAAGTGTTTTAAGGACCGAAGACAAAGCTCCACATTCGTCATTTCAATATGCACACATACAAGGCACTGTGAAAATGGCAAAGTGCTATTAAAACTTGTATTTTTGTTATGTGAGAGTATAAGAAACTTGAGACAGTAGATTTGAGTCATCTAATCCTAACAAAAGCCATCTTCTTATTTGTATGAAGAAGTCCAGAAAGGTCCTCTTCATGTAGTTATCTACATTAGCTGGCCTTTTGATTTACAAACTGCCTCAGCATGAAGCACAGATATCATTTATCATTAATAACCATTTTTTAAATTCTCAAGACCTATCACATGAGACAAAAGGCTTCCTTTTGGTTCCTATCTCACATTTAAACTTGTTTCACATGTATATTTGGATAAATAATTAAGCTTATTATATTATCCCTTCTTTTAATTGAGAGATAACTCTCATCCACAAAAATCCACCATTTTAAATGGACAATCTGCTGTTGTACTCATAAGGTTGTGCAAAAATCCTCACTCCCTCCGGAACACACTTGTCACCCCAAAGATAAACCTTACATCTATTAAGTATCACTCCCCATCTTCCCCTTTCTTGGCATTACATTCATCTTTTGGTAATTTGATTTAATTTTTTTCTTCCTCATCTTTTCTCTCTTGGATTATGGTTTGTTAATGCTTATTTACTGATCCACGCTTCTCTCTCTGTACTCTCCTGCCCTAGCTTGCACCTTCCCCTAGTGCCATCATCAGCTCATAGGATACTTTAGCTCTGCGCACAAACAAAGTTCAATCTAGAATTAACAGGTAGGCTTCCAACTGCCTGCCTGTCCACATCGCAGTCTAACTAGCATGGTAAGCATGCAGAATGAGTGACAGTGCTCTCCTATTTCCACACTCCTCAGCATCCCTTTCTCTTTCAGCCCTTGCTTCAGGACTGCACTGTCTCCTCGTGAAAGTAGCCCCCCATCCCACCCTGTTTCTAAAGGAAAAATTAATTTTCTCTTTGAATTCCAAGGCTTTCCTTAGTGTCCCTCAGTTGGCACTGAGCACATATTGTTCCTTTCTCTGGACATGTCAAATACTGACTGACAAGCCCCGAGGACAGATAACCTCATTTCATTCCTGGTTCTGCTCCCAGATTTTCCATACAGAAGGATCTGGGCAACACAGGACAAAAAAAAACAAAGAAATGAGTGCTACTTAATCAATACTACTGTGAAAGAAGACTGGCCACTTCCCACAGAGGAGATTTAAGAACTAGGAAATTCAAATAAAAGCACATGTCACCTGACTTTATTACACTCCACAGAAGTATGCATGAACACGCAACTATTTAGAGAGAAACAACAAACAGATTTGGAAACATATGATATTAGTTTGAAATACATAGCAGTGAATTTTCCAAAATGAAATACACAGCAGCTGGTAGCTCATGCTTCTCAGGCTTCTATGTCTATCCGTGTCTACACCAACAAATTCTTTACTAAGCATGTATAAAGTATTCAGAAAGGCTCTAAGACAACCTGATTCAAGAGAAAGAAATGCCTTCCTATGATTAATAAAGCATGGGTGGTGGATTCCAACATATACTGCATCTTCCGACTCATTAAATGTGGGCTGTGGAGATGGCTTGGTGGCTGAGAAGGCCTGCTCTGTGACCCTGATGACCCAAGGGAGATCCCTAGCACTCATACAAACAGTCAGATGCAGAAGCACCTGTACTTCCTCTTGCACATCTGTACCTCCTTTCACACATCTGCAGCTCCCCTCCCAAGGAGATGGGAAGAGGAAGCAGGAGAATCTGCAGGAGCTCACATGCAACAGCCTGGAATACACAGTTCACACAGAAACAAGAGAACCCGCCACCAAACACAAGAAGAGAACCAACTTGCAAGCCCTTCCCCCATTACACACAATGAGTCAATAAAAGAAATAAAAAATAAAAACAAAAGAGAATTATTAAATGTGGCAACTTCCACAGGGGGAAGGAAATGTTCAATTAAGATTTCCAGGTCTCAACTTTGAAATTGTTTTTGAAACTATTCTGACAAGAACTGCCAAAGCACGTGTATCATGTACCATTGTTCAAATCTTCTTTGAGCCTTTGAGCTAAGATAAGAAAGAAAAGTAAGTATGCTAAACACACAAAAGGTCTATGGAATCAAGAAACAACCAGACATCCATTCATCTGGTGAACTATTATTACAGAGAGTCTAATCTGTCCTTGTTCTCAAAGTTAAGGACAGTAACAAAATGAAAAAGATTTCAGAATAACCATTCAATTGTATTTTTGTATTCTTTTAGAATAGATAGGAACAAGAAAAACCTCTACTGGCAAAGGACTGCCTACAGTCACTAAGACCTGTTCTTCTAACGGGTGTCCCCTTAAACAGAGACTTGTACCCAACAGTGGCTATCAGAAGCACATCAGTTACTTTCAAGTTCATTTTCAAGAGTACTAACAGCTGTTGCTATTACTAGAAATGTGAAAAGGATTCTAGAATAGGGAAGGTGTGAAGCCAGTGCCAATGCACTATGAAAACAGCTAAGACACAGCTGTGCCCAATGTATGACTCTCACAACTGGTAACTCTAAACAGCATGGGAACAGAGGCAATGAGTTCTTTCACACAACGGAATTAAAATCACCCACACTGGAGTCCATACCTCTCCATTTTCAAAAGTTATTTCTCGGACAAGAGGGACACATTTGTCTTGAATCCAGTTGTAAGTTACGTCAAAATTCGTCATAGATCCCAAGTACACCATGTCTGGCACAGAACGCTGTTACAAACACAGAAATAAGAATTAAGATTACTGTAACCTTTGCTGGCAAAAACTACATTTTAAAATCAATCTACTAACTCAGAAACATCAAATATGAATTTCTAAGAAAGAAGGTAATAGTTTTGTCCTTTTTTAAAAAGGACAAATCTGTGCTAATTGGGAACTTGGTAATCTAACTTGTGATATAAAAGATTCCTGCCCCTCAGATTTAAGACAATTATCTATCATCAGCTTCATCAAAGTCAGGCAGCTACATAAAGAGAATTACCCAAATGAATTAATTAAGCTATTCCTTTTAATAGAAAATGTTAGAAAATCTGGACAGTCAAACATACTTTGAAAAAGAAAAGATGCTGGGAAATCTAAGGTAAGTGCATCTCTAGTAAGAATCACCTATGACTGTTTCCACTCAAAATTAGAGCACAAAAAGCATAGAAAACGATTTAAAAACTAACATTTAGTTCAGTAAACTTATTGTGTCCAGCACTGTTATAGGCACTTGGTGATAAGTTACTTACTTCTCCACATGGCATGTTCTATTACCTCCACCACTTATTTTTATTAATGGCAAAATCCAAAGCACTCAGAAGCTAAGAAACACTCCCAGCATAATACAGCCAGAAGGCACAGACTAAGGCCAGCGGCCATGCTCACTGAATGCCCACATTACACTTAAGACACTACTGGGTTCTTAATGATACCACTGAGTAACTACTATTAAAGAAACACACCCAAGAAAACACAGGCAAATGCCCACATGTCCAGGTTTGAAGACAGCTTGTGCGTGGCCTCTAAAAGTTCACGAGCTGGAAACTTGGTCCATGTGAGGATTCAAGAAGCAATAGAATTTTTAACAAAGTGGTAGAACGTGGAGAGTCATTAGGTCACTGAGGTGCCTCCCCCATAGGGATTAATGTAGGTTTGCAGGATTAACTTGTCATAAAAGAGCAAATTTGCTCTTGGTTAGTCTCGGTTTCCTCTCACCACGCAGCCCATTTTGTACATCTTTCTCCTTTCTACTCCTTCACCACGCTGTGACAGTTCAAGGGAGCCTTAAGAATATCAAACAAAAGGAACCACCTGGTCCTGGACTTTGAGCTTCTCATGTGTGAGCAAAAGAAGCATCTTTTCTTCTTAAGCACCCACCTTAGATATTATATTATAACGATAGAAAATGGATTCAAACACTGACTGAATTAGGAATTGAAAATGAGCTACAAAAGTAATGATAAATTATTTCTCTACATAAAAATTAATTCTAGTGCCAAAACATTATAAACACATTAAAATAAAAACTGTGATGTTGGCCAGGTGTGGTGACACACAATTTAATCTCAGAATTTAGGAGGCAGAAGCAGGTGGATCTCTCAGTTTGAGGCCAGCCCAGTCTATATAGTGAGTTCTAGGACAGGCAGAACTACATAATAGAGACCCTGTCTCAAAAAACAAACACACACACACACACACACACACACACACACACACACACACACACACACCAAAAAAAAAAACCAAACAAACCAAACTATGACCTGAAAAAAATATTCATGTTTCTATCTTTGGGATGTGAAACATTCATACTGATAGACTTTCATGTCAATTTAAGATAACATTCCTGGAAATTTTGCTTCTTAGTTCCTACCATTTACTCAGGCAAAATCAACTATTTCAGTGTTTAAACACACTTAAAAACAAAACTTAGTCAAGGGGAGAACCTACCACTGTTATTCTGTCAAACAGATACAGTATTAAACTGACTCTTAACAACTCATCATTTTACACCCACAGATTGATTCATCTCTCGGCTCTCAGCAGAGAAACTTCTATTTGCATAGATGGTGATTAACACAGAGCTCCACAAGTGGCCAAGGTGCAGAGATTAGGAAACTATGGAAGGCTCAGCCCTAAAGAGAACATATATACTGCATCTCTCCTCCCAAGGCTCGCTCAGGCATCAGTACAGAAGGGGGCAGAAGGAGTGTGAGAAGCAGAGGGGTTGGTGGGCACAAGGAAACAGCGTCTTCTGTTCACAGCAGGACAGCTGCACTCATGAACTCACAGCTGTTGTGACAGCATGCACAAGACCTGTGTAAGCCCAAACCAGACCAAATCCTACATGGGGAGGGGAGCTGGAACACAAGCCCATGCCATCAGTTGAGTTACTGGCAACCAATAACTACAGGGACAGCTAGCTTTCTCCAAGAGTGTAGTACCTGCTAAGTCAATCACTCTCTAGTGGAAGGTCACACACCTAAGAATAGTTAAGTACTACAAGTTGGTCTTGATGGATTTAAAAAAAAAAAAAAGGAGATAAAGTTGAATGGGCAGGGAAGGGGGGAATAAATCTGGGAAAAGTTGGTTTGTGGGGGGAATAAATACAACATTATATGAAATTCTCCTAAAGAATACTATCTATGGGCTGGAGAGATGGCTCAGAGGTTAAGAGCACTGGCTGCTCTTTCAAAGGTCCTGAGTTCAATTCCCAGCACCCACATGGTGGCTCAAAACCATCTATAATGAGATCTGGTACCCTCTTCTGGCCTGCAGGCAGAACACTGTATACATAATAAATAAATAAATCTTAAAAAAAAAATACTATCAATATCTTTTTTTTTTCCTTTTGGGAAAAAGGAAGAAAGGGAAAATAACTTGCCAAGTTGAAAACAACCTAAGTGCTTTTACTATGGAAAAGCTAAGTCATTTCCCAGCAGGTCTGGAGGTGGGCAGGAGTAATGCAAAGGAGTGGCCAACATGGCTTGCTCAGCATCTGAGTGCAAGAAGAGGGGGGGAAAAGAACTGAAGCCAGGGGACTCCAATGTCACTGCAGGTCTGTGACTTCAGGCTGCTGCTGCCCAACCTTCACTATGAACATGGGTTACTAGACCATGACACTTCTCAAAATTACATCACTTAGTCATGGTAGCATAAGCCTTTAATCCATACTACTCTGGAGGTTGAGGCAGGAGGGTCTCAAGTTCAAGCAAGCCCAGGCACCTTCGTGAGACCCTGCTTCACAAACAGAAAAGAGCCAGGATGTAGAAGTGTCTGACCACTTGCCTGACATACACAAGCCTTGTGCTCAATCCCTAGTACTTCTCCTAGCATTTAAAACAAAGTCATTGCTTATACTATACGTGTATTAAATATGGTGTCTTAAGCACACTGTGAAACAGCAACTCACCCCTGGTGGTTTGTAGATTAAATTGTCTCCACTGTACCTTTCTGGTTTTGAAACATCTCTGATAGGAGGGAAAAAATAATAATGTTTTAAGAAAAACACTTGAAACAATGTACTTTAATAAAACAGAATTCACTAATCACTGCAATGTATGAATTATAAAAACATGAAATAATAGACTTGTTCACTACCTGTCCCTTTCACTAGACTATGCAATACCAATATAACCATATATTTAAAAGCAAACTAATACGAGGCAGACTTCTTAAAATAACATTACAGTCAGCTGCTCTGGTATTAGGATTTTACAAGTCTGGATTGAACGGATGAGCATGATAGTCATTTTGACTCTAGACTGATTTCCACCTATAGATTAAGGACATTTATTTGTTCACAGATATCAATAAAAAATACATTAACTTTTTACTTCTTATTTTTTAAATTTGGCAATTCTAAGAACAAATGAATAGAACTAACCAATATCATAAAAAACACAGTTTTAGAAAGCAGCATGTCTGTATACTTGGACATTGTCATTTCCTGGGCCTACTACAGTATCTGGCAAATAAATATTTGGTCTTGTATAACAATTATTTAACTAGAAAAGTCTTAGAGAAAAGAGTATTCTTCTCTTCTCCTACATAATTTGTGGATTAAATAAACACCAATACACCTTCAGTTTCTGACTACATAGTCCAGAAAAAGAAGTAAAGGTGCTAACTGATGAATGTAAGGAAGGCACTCTGTGGGGAATGAGAAGAGGAGCTATGAGGAGGAAAACTGGGGCATTTTATTGGGAGGAAGGGTGGGAGGGCAATACTGAGAAAAAGGGAGAAAAGGAAGAGGGATAAGTAACACTGAAGATGTCTGAAAAACCAGAGGGAAACATTAATTTATGGTTACTTAAGAGTACATATACATTTATACATAAATTTTTTTTTTTTTGTGTGTGTGTGTGTATGTGTGCGCGCACAAGTGCACACATATGTGTGGTTCAAATTAAATTACACCACTTGGTGTGATGCTCCCTCCAAGACCCATAACTATCCAACAAAAACCTAAGTGTCAGGCCTGGAGAACCTTCCTTCTAGTTGTTGGTAGGGGTAGTTGAAGAGACTCCCTAACTAACACAGGGTATTAACACTGCCCTTAGTTGCCCCTTAGAACTTGAAGGGAAGATCCCATTGCTGAAGACACAAAAACTTTGGACACAGGACTTAGAGGAATCAACCTGTAACTGACCTGAAAGCCTCCTCCCTGAGGACTTGCTCTCATAATATCCAAAGGTGCTATGCAACAGCCAAAGGAGAAAGAACACAATAGCCCTACCCAGTTATAAAGCCTGCAAAGCAAGCAATGACGAGCATGACAAGATATTCCCAAGGATGTAATAGTGGCACCCATTAGGGGCCAACGAAAGCTGTGTAACTGGAGTTAAGGCTGCTCATCAGGAAGGAATCCATGGCTTGTACTGAAAACCTAACCAACTACCCACAGCTGGTGAGGTCATGGAACCTAGAGAAGAACCTACTACTTCTGTTTTCCTAAACTGACTACATCCCCAGATACATGTAGCTCCTCACTCATTAGAGAAGCTTCTTTTGTCAAGAGAATGAGACCATTACAGAAAACCACAACCGTTTAAAATTCAGGCAACAACTGGCCATGAGGTACCAAAGCCAGTTGATACATTTCTAATATAACCTCTACCCCTAAGGCTCAGGAAACAGAAGAAGGGACAGAAAACTGCAAGAGCCTGAGAACTTGGGTGTCTGCTGGGGGACTGTCTCTTCTATATGACAAGGAAGCTGTACCCAGGAAATCACAACAATTTGGCTACATAAACAAGTCCTGGGCAACAATAATAACAGCTGACATTCCAACATGGATGGGGGAACTCTCACAAGCCCCACCCCTAGATGAAGAGCTAAGGCAATTCATGGCTGCTGGAAGAGGAAGAATCGGTCTTCTCTAGGGATGAGCCTACTTACTGACAGGTTACTTACCAATCCCAAGTGGTCAGCCCTAAACAAATATACACTAAATGGACTCAGCAGGATGAATGTGAGTGTGTGTATGTACACATATGTACACATGTATATGCATGAAACAATAGTTAAAGAAGAGGTCATAAATTTGAGAGGAAGTAGAGGGATAAGCGGAGTTGGAGGGAGAAGGAGGAGGGGTAGAAATGTAAATGCACTAGTCAAGTATGATATTGTAAAAATATTGAAATAAAATGATGAGTGCGTCAAAGAAGAAATCAAAATATCCCTGGAACTAACTGAAAATGAAGCACAATACAATAAAGTCTCTGGGACATATTAAGAACAGTTCTAAGAGGGAAGTTTACAGCACTAAGCACCTACATTAAAAAATCAGAGAGCACAAATAAATGACTTAATGATGCAACTCAAGAATTTGGAAAAACAAGAACAAACCAAATTTAAACCCAGTAGACAGCAAGGAATGATAAAATCAAAGAAACAGAAACAAACAAAAATACAAAGAGTCAATTACTCTAAGAGCTGGTTCTCTGAGGTGATCCACAAGGTCTACAGACTCCTGGCCCACTTAACAAAAAGAAAGCAAGAAATGACCCAGAAACAAACAGGGAACATTACAACAGACACCAAAGAAATACACAATATTATAAGAGAATGCTTTAAAAACTTCATTCCATTAAGATGGAAAATATGAAAGAAACAGATGAATTTCTTGATTCATCCAAAATATTAAAGTTAAATCAAGAAGAGACCAACAACCTAAACAGACCCACAACAAAGCAGTTAATTGAAATTGTAATTAAAAAATTTCCAGCTATAAAAGTCCAGGTCCAGATAGATTCAAAACAGTTATCTATCATACTTTCAAAGAACTACAACCAAGCTTTCCTAAAACTCTACAAAAAAAAGAAAGAAGTAAAAAAGAAAGAAAAAGAACTCCAAAACCTGTTCTTTGAAACCAGTATTAATCTAATACCCAAACCAGATAAGATACAACAAACGAAACAAAACTAGACGTTATCCCTGATGAACAGAGATGTAAAATCCTCAATAAATACTAGCAAACTGAATACAAACGCATATCAAAAAGCTTATCCACCATGATCAAGGTGGCTTTATCCTGTAAATACAGAGTTGTTTCAACATCTGTACGTCAGTAAGTATAATAAATCATATAAATGGACTTAAAGACAAAAATCACATGAGCATCTCAATAGATGCAGGCAAAAATTTTTTTGACAGAATATGTTTCTTTGATTTAAAGTCCTAGAAAGAGTAGGACTGGAGGAAATATAACTCAACATAATAAAAACTATATATGACAAACCTACAGCCAATATTATCCTAAATGAAGAAAAACTAAGCTTTACTCCAAAATTAGGAATAAGGCAGAGCTGTCCACTATCCCAACTACTCCTTTGCAATATAGTGCTGTAAACACTAGCTGGAGCAATTAGACAGGAAAAAGGAAATTAAAGGAGTCCAAGTGTCTGCTGGGAGATGGTATTTGCAGATGGTATAATATTATACATAAGAGATCCCAAATATTCCACCAAAAACCTTCTAGAAATAATCAACAATTTCAGAAAAGAGGCAGGGATCAAAATCTTTTCTTTCTTTTTCTTTCTTTCTTTCTTTCTTTCTTTCTTTCTTTCTATCAGTAGCTTTTCTACACACCAACAACAAACACTGAGAAAGAGCTCATGGGCACACTTCCAATTTACAGCAGCATCAAAGATAATAAAATATCTTAGAATAAACCCAACCAAGGAGGTAAAAGACCTCTACAATAAAAACTTCAAATCTCTGAAGAAAGAGATTGAGAAAGACATCCTGTTCATGAATTGGTAGAATTAATATTGCAAAAATGATCATTAATATTGTAAAAATATCCATCCTATCAAAATTCAGTATAGCCCCAATCAAAACACCCACAACATCCTTCACAGAAATAGAAAAAAAAAATCTTAAATTCATATGGAACCAGAAAAGACTTTGGATAGCTAAAACAATCTGCTATCCCAGATCTTAAGATCCATATCTTAAGAGCCATAAAAAGAATAAAAGAACAGTATGATACTGGCACAAAAAAGATATGAAATCAGCAGAACAAAATAGAAAGCCCAAACATCTACAACCATCTGATATTTGACAAAGAGGCACCGATATACATACACTGGAGAAAAGATGACATCTTCAACAAATGGTTTCTGGGAAAACTAGATGTCCACATTCAGAGGAATTAAATTTGACCCATATCTATAATCCTGCAGAGAAATTAGATCCAGATGTATTTAAAACCTGAAACACTAAAACTGCTAGAAGAAAGGCAGAAAGATATGGGTGAAGAAAATGACTTTCTAAGATTTATTTATTTGTTTATTTGTTTGTTTATTTATTTATTTATTTATTTATTTATTTATGTATTTATTTATTTATTTATTTATTTGATGTATGAGTTCTCTATCTGTATGCACAACTTTATGCCAGAAGAGGGCATCAGATCCCACTATTGATGGTTGTTTGCCACCATGTATGTGCTGGGAATTGAACCCAGGTCCTCTGGTAGAGCAGCCAGTGCTCTTAACTGCTGAACCATCTCTCCAGCCCAAGGAAAGGGCTTTCTGAACAGAACTCCATTAGTCAAGAATTTAAGACTAACAACTGATAACTGGAACCTTGTAAAGTGAAAAGGCTTCTGTATAGCTAAGAAACAACTGAGTGAAAAAGAAACCTACAGAATGAGAATCTTTGCCAATATGCATTTCAAAGAAAATTAATAACCGGCATATACAAAAACTTCAAAAAACACAAAGTCAAGGAAACAAAAGACCCAATTTAAAATGTGGAGTAGGTTTCTATAGAGAGTTCTCAATTGAAGGAATAAAAATAGCTAAGAAATACCTCAAAAAGTGTTCACCATCCTTAGCAATTAGGGCAATGTAAATTTAAACAACTCTGAGATTTCATCTCATCCCACTCAGAATGGCTAAGATCAACAACACAATTGACAATAAATGCTGGTATAGTTGTGGAAAAAGAGGAACCTTCATTCGCTGTTAGTGGGGATGCACATTAGTGCAGCCACTCTGGAAACTCTAAAAATCTAAAACTACTTCCAGACAGAAGAGCAGCAGGTTCAAAGGCTCTGAGGCAGAGACTAGCTCAGAGTATCTGGGGTGGGCTATGGGACCAGACAGCAGTGAAGCAAAAGCCCAGGCTGGAGGTGTTTCCTGCCCATGCTGTACAGTGATCTTCAGAAACACTGATAATGTTCACAGTGAAACATCAAAAAAAAACCTCACAAAAATATGAAAGCAAGGACCTGGAGCATAAGTCATCAAATGGAGGAGGTATAAGAGCAGCTACTGCACCAGACTAATATAACTGTTAAGAGCCCCAAATAAGACACTGTACAAAAGCCAAAGGTGGCTGAGATAACCTCAGAGAAGAGAGGGTCAAGGACAGAACTTCGAATCATTACATTCAGAGATAAAAAAGAACAAAAGGAAAAAAAGGAACTGTAAGGGGCAAACCAGAGGGACTCAATGTCAAGTGTTGACAAGAGAAAAAAGAGGGGAGGTGATGTCTCAGCCTTCAGGGAATTTGAGATTAAACTGAAGAAAATCTGCTGGGTTAGCCAATCAAGGAGTCATATTGTGACTTTTCGGAGACAAGCTTTGTTAGAAGGATGGAAGTGTAAGCCAGCTTCCAAAGAGCTAAGAGTTTTTATTTGGAAGACTTTGAGAAAGTCAAGGTAACCAAGCATAAACTAGCCTCTAAAAAAGCAGAAAGAAAAGAAAGAGATGGCATTACAGCTCAAGAGATGGAAGTGGCGAGTCGGCAAAGAGAGGAGTGGGATTTCGAAAAGAGAAGAAATCAGTTTCTGTAAGGGGTCAGGGTAAACCATGAGAAAGCAGGGAGAACTGATGGATCCAAGTCCCAGGGAGAGCTACAAGGACAGTTTCCAAGAATGAAGAGGTCAGTCTTAGAAGGGCGAACAGTAGGGCTAGGGCTCCAGATCAGGTAGAGCACATGCTTAGCATGTAGAAGCCCTGGTTCTGATCCCCAGCAGAGGGAAGGGTGTGTGGGGTTGGTGCTATTTTCAGACAAGAAAGAAATAAAGGAAGGTGGTAAAGATATGGGGATAAAAGAAGATGACAAAACCTACGCTTCTTAACTAGAAGAGAACATTCTCATCCAGTTGCGCAGTCATGGGTTAGCAGTTTATCTGGCATAAGGGTCAGTGAATTGAAATCAGGGCATGAAAGAGCTTACTGTTAACTAGGCCACTCCTATGTTTTTACCTACATTCTGAAACATAATATGACAAACACTTTGAGGCCCTTAGAGGATAGGCCATATGTATAACTGATTGGTGTTTTTAAAAGGATTGAGGTCATCTTTGGAGAGGACATCTTTAGAACATGACCAAATACAACAAGAACTGAATGGGATAGCCAAGCTCACCCCCTAGCAGGCTGCTGGTTAATATACTTACCCAAAAGCAGAAAGGAAGGCACAGTCATCATGCAAAATACTTGCTACTCTTTCAAAAACTCTGTAATTGTCTGAATCCTTCTGCTCAAAGTATCCAATGATATTTCTCTTACTGCGCTGTAAAATAAAGTATCTAATTATTTTGCGACATATATAGTTCTAAGAGCATGCTACTTCATTTACTCTTTATTCTGGAACTCAGCTCTGGTTGTGGTTCAGTTATCTGCAACTGAAGAATAACTATGAATCCAGTGATAGCATTTAATGCCTAGTCCAAAACTATCAACAATTATGCTGGGTTGAAAACAGTATTGCTACAATAAAATGTAACTATCAATTCATTAAAACTGTATTAATTCAGACTCCTCCATGGGTCCCTCACATGTCTCCACATGGTACTGCCTATGCTTACTGCATAAGACCCTGTCCACTCTCTAAAAAGGTCAGTTCTCAGGGCTGTGCTTGCAGCCAAAATATTAAGGTATGGCAGATTGTTTTGTTCAAGACAAAAAAGGAGAATTTGCTGTTTGCTCTGAAATGGCAAGCTCCCCAAGCCTAGCCATCCCTTCCTGTACCACAACCCACTGCCTGTATAACCATTCATCATGGTCCTTTGCATGTTCTCACAGGACACAGGGGCTAGGAGACAGAAGTAACAAGAAAGGCTCATAGGCTCACAAGGCCTGCTATGATGTAAGCAATAACATCCTTCATCTCTGGCTCAGGACTCATGTTCCTCTGACAACAACCGCGAAATGGTAACTGGCTAATTTATTAACATGTCACCTGATAGCAAGTGGAATAAAGACTAAACACTATAGTTTTTGCTTTTGGTGTTTCGTGCGTGCGTGCGTGCGTGTGTGTGTGTGTGTGTGCGCGCGTGTGTGTGTGTGTGTGTGTGTGTGTTTAATTACTTAACTTACAAAGAAACAAGTTTGCTAAGTTTATCAAGAGGGGCTATTTTAAAAGGCACTAAATCATAATAGAATTGAATAGAAACTAAAGCAGATACTCTGCAGGTGTCAACCACAGCAAATAGGCAAACTTTGGTGTGCATGCTTGATTTACTTCTGTTTATAGTTCAGGCTTCTCTTTGTACTACATTAACTCAATTAGTGCAGCTTTACTATATGTTATACATTCATCTGGAAGTTCAGCAATCATTAGCATTTCCCTTGAGAATTAATCCCAAATTCTTTCCAGTATACATATTGTCAAATACACTGCAGTAAACTGTAAGAGAACATGCAGAGTCTGCATTCATATTGTGGCTTGTTTGTGTTAATTACACAGGCAATGCACATTTCATCCACCATAAGTTAACTTACATCAAGAGTGGTGACTTCATCTATACTTTGAATCTCGTGAACTGGGTTACTTTTCTGTTGCCTGATGTAGTCTGCGAGCGCTTTCACTGATCGTTGGCCCCTGTATTCTCTCTTCATCATCATTCCATTGCGAAATAATTTGAGGGTTGGGTATTTGCTTATCCTGTACCTCTGGGCTATATCAGCTAAAAGAATGCATGAAAAGAAGTTAGCTATCACTCAGTCAGGGTGAGCAGATTAGTCCAAAAGTCAGAAACATTACAATTATTTAGTGATATCTTTCCTAGTGAAAGAGAAAAGAAAATACTCAGTCATGACTTTATACTGGTTATCAGAACCAGGCTCTGGACTCACTGCCTGGGCTTAAATTCTGACGCTACTGTTTACTTACTGTTTGTGTGAACCTTAAAAGTGCATAAGCTGTGATGCCCTCACTTTTCATGCTACAATAAGGATAATTTCTATTACAATAAGGTTGTTATATGAATCAAACTAGACAATGCAAAAACGTAGCATAGTAAGTATGACAGATGGACATCTGAATAAAAAGACAGCAACAATAATTATGCCTTCACAGCATATAAGCTAGGAGGAGGGCAATAAGCAGGAAGTAAATTACATTATGCATCCCAAGGCCTTTGGAGTGCTCAGGAAGAGGCAGCAGTACTTACAATATTTGCTAAGTTAAGGCTGCATTGTTTTCTCTCTAGGACAAGCATTTAGAGAATACTAAAGAAATATGAGAGATTAAAGTTGGAGCATGAGTTCTCAAAAGAGACGATGGATAAAAGCCAATATGTAATTTAGATCACATAATACTCGGGTAAAATCCATGGAGGATTTATAAGGAGGAAATCACAATTCATTACCAAAGCTCTTTAAATCTGAATTATTAACACAAGGTATACGTATTTAACAAAGCCAATAACTGCCTGGTTTAGGAGCTGATCACTTCAAAGCAGAACCAGAAAGTCCATGAGCTACAAGCTCTTCTTGGACGGCAAACACAATGAGAGGGTGTGTTTCTGGGCCCTATGAGCAAGGAACGGATGCAATTACACTGGAGTGAGAGTGGTCCACAACAAGTACAAGCTCTAAAGATGCAGAGGCACCTTTAATAACATAAAGAGCACAAAGTGTGGCTTAGTCACAAGAAAATGACCTTCTTGTCAAAAACACATTCTTTTCCAGCACACTACACATAACATGTGACAAATGAACATGATATATAAATACAATGGAGTTTTTAATTAAAATGCTTTTCAAACTGTATCAAACAGTTCCTCTGACCGACGAAGCAATGTTGTTGTCTAGAGAATTGAAAATATCTTTTTTAAAGTTATAATTTTCCCAAGTATCTCCCAGAGACTGGTTTAATTAAGGATGGGCACTCATAATACGAAGTACCAGGCTATTACATAAAGGAATGAAACCTCTGTATATTTCTAAAGTGAAATACTCAGCATACACTATAAAGTGAAAAAACAGCCAGATGTGAAAGCCTAAGAAATGTGGGGGAGAAATATAAATGCATATATATATATATATATATATATATATATATATATATGTACAAACACATACATATGTATGTTCCAGCTTAAACATTTGTCCCTATTCTACCTCCAAAGGAGGAAAAAAGAAAAGAGATCACCAGTGAGAGAAACTGAGAGACCCTTTGGAAGAAATTTAGATTTCATTCTCCCCCCCCCCCCCACCCCCGACAGGGTTTCTCTGTGTTGTTTTGGTGCCTGTCCTGGAATGTGCTCTGTAGACCAGGCTGGCCTCAAACTCACAGAGATCGGCCTGGCTCTGGCTCCTGAGTGCTGGGATTAAAGGCGTGCGCCACCACTGCCTAGCTAGATTTCATTCTTACACTTTGGTTTTACAATTCTGACGTTGAAACCATGCAAATATTTAACATGAATATAAAATGTTTAAAACATTAATACCAGTATTGTTGCTTTGAAATTTAACAGATTTTTGGTAGATAAAGTATTTGATATCAGTAAGGTCACTAAGAATCAAAAGTTTCAGCCTAAGGGAGTAAAATATAAAACTGATAAATACGTCATTCTATTTGCCTGGGCAAGCATTTTTTTGGATAAGACTTTAGAAGTATACGCAAGAAGAGCAAAGCTAGACAAATGGGATTATCTCAAACTAAAAAGCTTCTATATAGCAAAGGAAATAGTCTTTAGAATACAGAGACAATCTATTGACTGGAAAATATCTGTAAAGTAACAATGAACAGTCAACACTCAAAGCTTTACACAGAATTCAAACAAGTATACTGCAAAAGTACAAAAAACTCAATTTAAAAATGGGTAAAAGTTATTTGAAGGTACATGGGAAAAAAAGTCAACATCACTACCATCAGAGAAATGTAACTCAAACCCACAAGGAGAGGCTGAGAAACAGCATAGTGGCAGAGAACCTGTCTAGTCTAGCATGGCCCCAGCAACACACACAGGAAAGGACACAAACATCACCCACTCCAATTAGACTGACTCTTAATAAAAAGACAAAAGACAGTAAGTGTTGGTGAGGAGGTGGAAAGGGGGAACTTGTGCATTACTTTTGGTGAGAATGTAAGAGCTGGAAGAATCATTATGGACAACAGTGTAAAGTTCCTCAGAAAACTCAAGAGAGAACATGACATGAAGAACCTGCCAGTTCTGCTGCTGGTTATATATTCAAAGGTACAGTCAGAATGTTGTCAAGAGATCACACTCCTATCTTGCAAAAGCACTGGTCACAACATTCAAGACTGAACCACCTAAATGCCTATGCCAGTCACTGATGAATGAAGACAGAGAGAGAGAGAGAGAGAGAGAGAGAGAGAGAGAGAGAGAGAGAGAGAGAGAGAGAAACAGAGTGCTATGCAACTATAAAAATAATGACATCTTGTCATTGGTTACAACATGAATAAACCTAGAAGGTTTAAGTGGCATGAACCAAGCACAAAACAGCATGATCTCAACCATATGTGGAATCTTAAAAAAAAAAAAAAAAAGAGGCTGCTTTTAGGAGTGTAATGACGACTGCTGGAGACCAGGGTAACTAAGAGGTCAGGGAGAAACTACAAATGCTTGTCAGAGAATACATAACCACACTTACAAGGAATAAATCCAAAGATTCTTGTACATCAAGGTAACAATAGTTAATGATGACATGCTAAAATCTGCAAATAGGGTGTGTGTGCTACGTGCTTTTACCATAAAAATTACAAGAGAAGCTATACATTTGTAGGTGACCTTTAACTATTCGGGTGTATATACTTCAAAACAAGTTATATACAAGAAAAATATTGCTATTTATTAATTCTTAAGAATAAATAAAACCTCTTAAAGGCAGAGGAAGCAGGAGATGGACATGCCATACTGAGATAAGGTACCTAGCCTCGTGGTAGAACATAGATAAAAATATGGATTAATTTAAGTTGTAAGAGCTAGTTAGTAACATGTCTAAGCTATCGACAGAGCATTTATAATTAATAATAAGTCTCTGTGTTGTTATTTGGGAGTGCTGCTGGGTATGTTTTTACTTCTACAGAAAATGAGAGACTGTAGATTCATTCCAAGTTGATATGGATTAGGTTTGATTGAAAAAGACCCCCTGAAAATCCTGGCTATAGATATAAAGAAATAAACCTAGAAAAACTACAAAACATGTGATGTATATTTTACCTGCTCAAACATAAAACAAAAAAATTATCCTTGCCTAACTTGTCTACAACACATAGTCTATACTTTATTAATGCAGATATGTATGTTACCTTTAAAAGTTTATATATTTTCAGAGCAAGGGGACCAAACACTAATGAAAACAAATGTCTCAGGTGATCCAGCATCTCAGAATGCCTTGGTTACAGCTTCCTCAAATTCTGTATCCAGAACAGCTTCAAGACTGCTGGCTGAGATGGTCCAGCCTCATAGGCTACTCCAGCCTATAATTAACCATTACCCTAAATTTTCTCAAGGTTCCCCCAAAGATGCCAGAACCTTCAAACAGTAAGACATAGTTTAGAGAAAACAACACCCACATTCCCAAAAGATTGATTGTGGATGTTTGTCATCACTTAAAGGAGTTAGTTATAAGTTGTTATTGGTCATAGTCAGGAAAAAAAGCTAAACAAAGGAGTTAAATTCAAAGATCTCTTTCTAAAGGAGAAATGATGAGATAAAAGGGTAGATTATTGAATCTACCTTAATCCAAAACACAACTATTAATCTCAAAATATTTTACATTGGTATGGATTTTTGTTTATTGATATAAATTTAAAGTTATTTTTGCTATACTATATGTATTTTCTACTCTTTATTGGGGTGTTGTTTATGCAGTTCATTTAGAAATGTAATGTATAATTAAGAAATACAGGCTAATAGCCATCTATAATAATCAAACTTGTAGTCATATTAGGTATGTTTTCAAAGTTAAACAGATATATTTAGATAGATAGATAATCTTCAAACACTTCAAAGACCTACAGAATATGGCATTAACATGTTTAATAACCTAAGGCTTTTTATGACAGTCATATACATCTGCTCCTGAAAGCACCACTTTACTTCAAAAGAAGATGGTGGGCATTGAAGAATCTCCGTATGGAGTTTGCTTTCTTTATGGCAAAAGGTAGCCATTTGGGAAAAACAAACAAACAACAACAACAACAAAAAAAAAAACTGCCCTTGCCTCAATTGCTGGCAGTATGCTGTCAAAATTAGACCAGCAGGAAGCAAAAGAAAGCAATGCCAAGTTTTTCCAAGACGACATAGGACAGTCCTTCAAAATTCCCTGCTTCTCAAAAATGTCTTTGAGATATACTAGGCCTGTAGGCCAAAGTTGGATGCCCTAACGTTGCAGAACTCTGGGTGACTGTTCACGCAGCCAGATGTCCCTGTCATTAGGTAACATTACACCTTTCTGGGGTCTCTGATAGAGTTAAAGACTAATAATTAGACTTAAAGTTTTCCTGAGTTATGATAAAAAGTAAATTAAGTATAAATTGTTTAGATTCACAAAGATAATAGAATACTGTCTCCAAATTTGCCAAATACAAATGGACTGGATAGTGTAACTGCAATTCTTACTTGATAATTACTTTTGTTGTATATAATTTTGCCATGTTAAAGCTAAAACCTTCCTTTTTAATTAGATAAAAAGGGAAAAAATGCTGTAGAAT